ACTTCCAAGCGAAAGAAGTCACCGATGTGTCTGCCTACCAGCTGCCGCATTCTCGACCTTGACCCACCACTGCTCTTTTCTCCTCCTCCCCCCTCCCACACTTCTCCATGGACCCAGCATCCTGTCGAAGCCAACGCTTGGGGCAAGGGATCATCCAGACTGGAGGCAGACACTGCAGATCGAACACACCGACTAAAAGACTAAGATTTAACTTAGTCGTTAACGGCGCCCTAAAGATAGACTAGATTGGCGTCATTTGCGCATGGTTACTGGATTCAATGCCATGTGGTAGTGATGATCATTTCTGCAGGGGGGAGGTTAAAGTTCTCATCTCCTCGTGGTGACTGTGTCCACAAGCGTGGCGCTAACCCAGAAGCCCAGAAGCCCAGAACCACTAGACTACTATCGAAGTGACCGAACCTGACCTGCCCATCGATCGGACCAAGCCGCCCATTGGGAAAGGGACCGCATTGCCGCTGGGTTGCAGCTGCCATGCTGGAGTTACATTGGCTGTGTCGGAATTGGAAGGGAAGGGTTAGACTCAGAAATTGGAGGAGGAACGAAAATTTTGGCTGGGTGCTCGCCAGTCCGCGCCACGGTTCTCTGGCAACGCCAGTCTTAAATTATCTTAACTACTGCCATGACTGCTGTTGGCTGCTGCCACTGCAGTGCTTCGTCTGCTTCCTGCTTGCTTGTCCTCGCCAAGTCACCGTCGACAGGGCCACAAAACCGTATTTCCCCTGGACCCGAAAGCTTATAAAACTGCAACCCCAAATTCGGCGTTTTCAACCCTCCGGAGATATATCTACCTCGTACCTGGCACTGAAGCAATGAGGGTTGCCAGGATGTGCTCCTTGTCAAGATGAGTTCCGACAGTTCTTCGAATGCCGGCCCGGCCCTGTTGAGTGGTCTCTGGGCGGCCGTCGGCATCACCACATTCATCCTCATTCTCCGCATCGCTGCTAAAATCAAAATTCGTCACTTCCACATTGACGATGTGCTGATGATTGCGGCCCTGGTAAGTGATTCACCTGCGGCCTTTCTGCTATCAATTTACCTCTAATGCGATGTCTGTCTCCGTCTCAGATCCTAACCCTCTCTTCCATGGGGCTTTTAACCAATTCCGTCCGGCATGGCTTTGGCAAAGACCTCGAGACTCTGGAACTGTCAGATTTGGAAGCAGTGTTGAAGGACATTGCCATCCAGGTACCGCTCGTCACGTTCAGCACCGGAATTGCCCGTTCCTCGTTCGTTCTCTACTTGCTCGGAATCCTTGGCGGAAAGAAACCATACCAGATCGCGCTCTGGACAGCCATGATGCTGCAGCTAGTCTGCAACATCATCGCCGCCGTTTTACCACTCAGTATTTGCCGCAATGTCCGAGCATTGTGGGTTCCCGGAACGGAGACTACCTGCGGTAACACGGTTGCGGTCATTCACTTTGCCTACTTCCAGTCCTGTACGCATCTGATCCCCTACACATTTGACCGAAACTCTGGACTGATTGTTTGAACCAGCCATCAATACCGCGACCGACTTGTTCCTGGCAGTTTTCCCTACTGTGATCTTTTGGAACCTGAATCTAAAACTTCGCATCAAGATCAGTTTGATCATCCTGCTGAGTCTGGGTATTGTGTAAGTGGACCATCCCTCGTTTGATCGGCTCGCGCTAAGACCGCACCACCAGCGCTATGATTGCGTCTATTATCAAAACCACCAAACTCGACCAAGTGCCCAGTGTGACCAATATTGGCGCGTCCGGAGGCGTGGAACTGATCCGCTGGGGTTACACTGAGAACGTGATCATCATCATGACCTCATCCATCCCTTGTATCCGACCACTTTTGATCTCCTCTGTGAGGAAATTCTCCAGCAATGCCAAGTCACGCTCCTACGAGCTCACTGGACCCTTCAGCGGCAACAAAGGCAATACGAAAAATGGCACTGCGCCATCACAGAATCAGGAACGGAGGGATGATGACGCCGACAGCGTCGAACAGATCCTGCGTGAGGCCTACCAGCAGAACTCGGCGCTGGAGGCCGGCCGTGGTATTACGAAACAAGTCGACATCTCGGTAGTGTCTGATGGGTCATCTTTTGGACGATGATCGAGCACTGAACAACCTACTTTGACGAGACCATTCTCTCTTTAGATTTCTATCTTTTCTTTCTCTTCCTTTTCGGTCCCTATTTTCCGATAATGTCTTTCCTCTTCTGGGCATGTGCGGTATCTAGAATACCATACTGATGACGACGGGCACGACTGTCATGGTAGGCAGTCTACGACTATACTTAATGAATTTGGTTTCACTTTTGGGAGAAATTTATATACCTGAGGCATTAACATTGCCATTTCCCTGTTTCTGCTTGTCAGCCCTGGAGATTGAGATGGTGATGGCAGCGGGATTGGCTGAAAGCCACCCCCACCGTGTCATTTCCCAAGAGCAAGTGACAGCCAGCCGATGCCCTGAAAAGCAGGATGTCTCAGTGGTGAACCATGGAACAGTAGCGATCTATTGGCATACGGAACCGTGGAGCGAGGGAGGAAGGGAGGGAGGGAGGGAGGTTCAAGGGAGAGCGTGCGGTGTCTCCACCCGGCCTGATTAAACTTTTTACGCAGTGGCCACTGCGCGCCAGCATCCATGAATCCATCGATTGAACCCGGCTCTGCACCGGCCGGTGCTTGCCCGAACGGTATGTTGGCCCGTCTCTGCTGCGACAACTCGACAAGGACCTGAATTTGGGGTTTGCGGAGGATGTCCCTATCTTATCTCCTCTGTCCTGCGATCTGCATGATCTGCTTTTTTGGTCGGTCTCGCCGGGGACGGAGTTCAGCGCTTTCAGTTCCCCGGTGACTGGGGATACAGAATGAACAGTGATCGAGCAACCAGAGACTTTTTTTTCTTTTCTCGAGGGACCCAGTTTGCGCAAGGTGGCAAGGGAAAAGAGTTCCGCCAAATTGCCGATTAAAATTTCCTTTGTCTTTCTGGCCGGTGAATCGAAGCGTCTCTGGAAGCAACGCCTTCTGGAACGGACGGAAGCATCAAGCGTCGACAGAGGCAAACTCAACTGCAAAAGCACCTCAAGCCTAATCGACTGGATATGACGAGATAGACCCGCACCCATGTGGTGCAAGTGACGATCTTCGCGTGTGAAGCATACTCAAAACCACCGTTCATCCATAGTTGCTTCAATTTTGGTTTTCGGGACATAACCTCAATCCGTCCAAATTCAAACCCATATTTGTGTTTATGTTTTGGATCTGAGGTCAATCACCCATGTTATGCAGATCCGCGCCGGAATTCCCGATCATGTTGAACGAGTCATGATGACTCCGACCCCGAAGCATTGGACGGTCTGTTGGTGGCACTGTTTCCAATTTCTCTGTGTCACTCGATCGTATCGTTCCTGGAGTGTGGCCTCCATCCAGGGAGCTATTGAGTCAAGTGTCTTGTGCTACAAAGCTCGGCATCCATCGTATTACCCGTACTGATGGCTTCGGCTTGTTGACTGTTCCCGTTTGGTTCACCCTTATCCTCGTAGACAAAGCTTTCTCTGCGCAGTCGGCTTTAGGGACTTGGGGGCTAGGCCCGACGATGCTATTCTCAGAGGTGGAACCTGCAAGGATGCAGTAGTACAATCCTGGTGCGCTTCACGTTGGTGAGCTCGTGCAGGAAATAAATTAATAATAAGCTTGACTAGACTCAAGTCCTTCTCGGAGGCATCCGGACTAGTCTAGACTGTCTTTGCTTGACGCCGACAGCCTCGGAGCAGAGAGTAGATGGTGAAGACTCCGCGGACCTTTTCTTATCCTCGCCCCTGAGCCGAGGCACCATTGCAGCCTGGCGGTTTCATGCCTTAGGCATCAAAAATTGAAGATCAGGTGATAAGCTTAACCTTTTCTGGAAGAGGATGTGCAAATAGGCAGCAACCTTCATGTACCCAAGTCATACTAATCCACAATCAATCACCCTACTGTTCATCAAGTTTGTAGGACATTTCACCTCACTTATTACAAATCTGGATGAAGCTTCTGGCTCACTATCGTGATGTCACAGTCAAATAACCACAGAGTCATATCTTGACCTTTGCCTCGATTGGGTGGAAGAAGGCTTCTCCTGCCAGGCCACCAGACACCCGCCTACTATGCTTCACCATCTTGATTATGATTATCTTCATCCTCCATTTCAGTGATCTTACTCCGGAGTACATGCAGCTACAGAATCGATGATTCTTATCCACTCCAGCTGATTCAGCCCCAACTTCAGTCCCGCCAATCATGTGCATCTAACATGTCGATCTTCTGATTGCGGGGTAGCCTATCAATCGTGATCTCTTTCGATGCCAGCAAGCAATCCCAGACCAAAGGTGGTCGCTGCTTCGATGGCTAAGATTTCGAAGCTCTGGCTTGGAAGTCCATCCAGACGCGAAAAAGCCACAAACTCGTCGCAACCCTTTTGAACCACTGTCATCCTGGCCAAGGCTCTTCGGTGCAACCGTCACGATGGCTATCACGTCATCGACACCCAGATTGTGCCAATCCAGAGCCAACCACCAGCCCAGAGTCGAGCGCATCAAGACTCAAGCTTGAACTCTCACTGACAGCTTTTTTACACTAGAGCTGCGTCTATGACTTGATAGCGGGGGACACGGCAGACAAGGCCTGGTCAGACAAGTCATACACAGGGGCCTTCCCGCACTGACACCGCGTGGTCTGTTATCTGATTGCACGACAGGCAAGAGATATTTGGGATGAATGGACGGATTCCTAGCCTACTATCATCGCCCAATCCAGCCCTGGCACGAGGAACGCGCAAGCGACAATCACGGAATGACAGGGGTATAACTTGAGATTCCCATTATGTCCCGCCTCTCGGCCGGTTCTACATAACCACCGTTCTTGCGCTGTCTGCTTCTCATTTCTCTCGGGATTCTTCCGGCTTGGGCACGTTGATCTCGACCTGTACACGAACCAGCCGGCCAGCGATTGAGCCATCACGATGGGGCGAAAGCTTGGTCTCTTCCGGGCTATTTGCCTGGTGTCTGCTAGTTGCATGGGCTCTTTTGCCTTTGCCTTTGACACCGGTGTCATCAGTGGGTGATACCATGCTCAAGCTCAATAGTTTAATCTTTGGATACTCATACAGTTCCCTACATCAGGCGGCGTCCTCACCTTATCCTCATTTCAGAATGATTTCGGATATACTACAGCTCAGAAGACCTCGGTGAATTCCAATGCTGTTTCCATCCTTCAAGCGGGCGCTTTCTTCGGCTGCTTCTTCACGACTCCCATTGCGAAGTATCTCGGTCGACGACTTGGGCTCATTGTTAGCTCCTTGGTCTTTACTGTTGGCACCATCCTGCAGGTCGTCAACTCCCACACGCTGGGCACCTTCTATGCTGGTCGTGTTATCGCCGGACTCGGCATTGGAGCTGCTACTGTCTTGATTCCAGTGTACGCGGCCGAGATGTCGCCCAAAGAGCTCCGGGGTCGGCTCGGGGCATGCTTCCAGCTCTTCTTCACTCTGGGGGTCATGATCGCATACTGGGTGACATACGCTGTGGCCAAGGATCAGCCGTCCGCGACCAAACAATGGCAGATCGCGCTGGGTCTGCAATTGCTGCCTTCTTCCCTCCTTCTGTTCGGGATGTTGGCCGTCAAAGAGAGTGCCCGCTGGCTCGCGTCCAAAGGCAGGATTGACCAAGCCCGGGAATCGCTCAAATGGGTCCGCGGCGGCGAGGAGACCGAAGAGCTCCAACAGGAGTTCGACGAGATCCTGGCCGGCATCGCGGAGGAAGCCCGCATCAAGGAGGGCTTCACTCTCCGCGAGCTGCTCCTCCCGGCCAACCGGTACCGCCTGTTCATCGCCTTCACCATCCAGCTCGCCGCTCAACTGACGGGCAATACGTCATTGGCATACTACGCGACCCAGATTTTCTCGGCGGTCGGGGCCGGCAATTCCAGCAAGCTCGTGACGGGCTTCTTCGGGCTGGTCAAAGTGGTTGGCGTGTGCGTCTTCCAGCTCTTCGTCCTCGACCGCGTCGGCCGCCGCTGGCCGTTCATGGTCGGCGCTGCCGCCATGGGCTCCTTCATGCTCATCATCGCCTGCGTGCTCGCCACCCACCCGACCAACGCGTCAGCTACGCACGCCTCCCCGGCCGGCATCGCCATGATCCTTATGACCTACTGCGAAGCCTTCAGCTACAACATGTCCTGGGGTCCGCTCCCCTGGCTGTACGTCGGGGAGATCTTCAGCAGCCGCATGCGGGAGATCGGGGTCACGGTGGGGGCGGCGTCGCAGTGGTTGTTCAATTTCATGATGTCGCAGATCACGCCGCATGCGATCGACAACGTCGGGTGGCGGATGTTCCTGATGTTTGCCATCTTCAATTATGCGGTGGTGGTCTACGCGTATGTATTTTTGAAAGAGGTACGTTTTATTTGTCTCTTGGCTTTCCAATCGGCGTGTGATCTCGAGTAAGCTAATTCATTGCTTCCGGATGTAGACCTCGCAATACTCCCTAGAGGAGATGCAGCATGTCTTTGGTGGAGATAGGTCTCCTGCGGCTGAGAAGATCGTAGAGACTGGCGAGGCGGGCCGGGCCTCTGGAGAAGCAACAGAGGAGACTGGTGGGCACACGCATGTCACGACGCCGAAGGTGGAATGAGACCGGGGTCAGTGGGGGTGCATATGGGTGGGGATGCTTCCTGACCGTCATCGACAAATTTGAGCTCGATAAATCTCATTATCTAGACAGTAACTGAATGAGGACTTTAATCCTCTTTGCTTTTGCTGCGAGGGAAAGAACGAGCTTGTTGCGCACGCGTCTTTCAGTGAGTTATAGTGTGCCCGACAGGTACGGCTACTCTTTCTATAAAGGATCCGCAGTGATCGGTCTGGATTTCACTGCCGCTGAGACTGGAAACCCAGAAATATGGATATTAGAGTTGAATACTACGAACGCGATCAAGTGAACCGAGACAATTGCTCTTGATACTCGCCGTTTGTCCGATACCACCCTTGTGAGGCGATGAACAGAAGAAACAAACAGTTTAAGCAAGGATGTCTACATCTCTTTTCCTCTGAGGGGTCAACATATGCCTGGTTTGTAATAAAGGAACAATAGAGAGTATTTCCGTATCGAAGAACTCTGATCGCAAGTACCTTCGGCCTTTTTTTTTTCAAAGTACGGCCCTCAGAAATCCTAATGTAGAAGAGGTTCTTAAGCAAGCGGTTTGATATAACTTTGTAAGTAAAACATCAAGTCCTTGAGTACCACTCGCATCTATTGTATCTCGTTGGACCGGGAGTGGGTTCGGAGAGAGTGCATGAGTGTGGTCAATAACAGCAGCCTGAGCATCTACCGCGCAGTACATGCATTGCAACACAATCCAAACTTGACCTTCTCGGGGTGGGGGCCTTGATATATCTCTGTATCCCAGCTGAGAAAAGGACTTGGTTGGCCGATGGCGGTTGATATTGGGGGTCAATGATCCATGGAAAATTGGAGACCGACCTATTATTGTCTATTGAGTTCCGAGGGGATATCTAGTGGTGTTGTGTGTCGGTACCCTGTGTCTTGTAGTCACACTATGCACTATTGAAGGGAATCATGACTTTGATGGTACCGAAATACCTCGATGAGTAACGAGGGTAATAACACCCGACCCGGTAGGGGGGGAGGGGGAGCGGGTCCATGAGCATTGAACTATAGCACCGTAGACAGGGAATTGGGAAGCACCGATGGCGAAACAATGCAGGTCTATAGCGGTAAGTCTAGGTAGCTAGATTGGAGCGTTCGACTGGGCCTGATGAAACTTTTGTCGGATGAGCTTAGATGTCATCACTTCTCAACTCAGACAGACTTTTATCACTCAGCCTTATCCTCAAACGGCCATGCTTTCTTCCACACTCTCCGTTCCTCAGGGGTCCTCGATTCCCGATCCAAGAACCTCTTCTTGGCCACTTCCAATCTTCTCGCCATCTCATCATAGTCATCAGGTGGAACAGCTCCATCCCACCCGGGATACACCCCTAATTCCTCGATCACCCGGGCTTTCCTCTCAACATCTCCCTCCCATCTGGCGTACTCTTCAGCTTGCCTCACCAAGTCCTGCTCGTTGTACTTCAAGGGACACGCCATCACTGGATCTCCACGATCATCCATCCCAACAAGCTGTTTCCAGACCTCGTCCGTGGCTACGGTGGCAAGAAGCTTCTGGACATGTGGCTCTCCATCGTCGAAGATCGATCCCACCAGACCTAGTAGATCCGACTGCACAGTCTCGCAGTACTTAAATGCATGCAACAAGTCCGGCGCTTCCTTGTAAATCTGCGTCTCGTAGTAAAGCCAGAGGGTTTGCGCGAGATACATCTCACCAGCGGCCTTCTTGTCCGCGGGACTCAGGTCGTGAATATTCTCCGGGAGCCGAGGCTGAACAAACCGCTCAGGCTTCAGCCCGTCATACTCGATGAGGGACGGGTGATGGGCGATCAGGAACATCGGATAGATGGGGACCGCTTGCCAGTCGATGATGCCGGTGATCTCGGTGGGATGGTCGTGGCTCACGAAGATGTTATCCAGATGGAGGTCGTTGTGCCAGAGTATGCCCTGGTTGAGGGCTTCATCTTTAGGAAGGAGGTGGTGATATATACTTAGCAAGTCTTGTAGAACGGATAACTTGGTTTGCTTTGTGGGGTGATATCCACCAGGTCCGTTGAAGATGCCCTGATGGTGGTCTCGAGGAAAACTGGGGAGATGGTGGATGCAGGCTTGTTCGCGCTGGATTAGGGCGTGGATGGTGTCCTTCGTGCTCGGCCCTGGGATGCTTTTAGTTTATGTGCGAGGGTTTTTGTATAGGGGGCTAGTAGAGGGTGGAGCTTACAGGGGCCTCTATGGATGTCCACCTCCGCTCGCTGATCGTCAAACCATGCTCAGCCGGTGGTTGGTCCGATCGCGAAGACATCGTCAACGGCGAGAGCCTCGGACTCGGCGACGTCCTCGCGCAGGTACAACGAGCCGTGGGCTGGAAACCTCCCCGAAGAAAGTCGAGAAGTGATTGAGCCGAGTTGCTGGACGATAGACAGTTTCTCGCGCGGCTTGAGAGTCTCCCACACGCGGCTCAGCTCGATCCCGCGGGCTTTCTCCATCACGATGTACTCCGCGTCTAGCTGGCTGTCGCCGGCCCGGGAGCAATACGCTAGGACTTGCGGGACGGGAAGGTGGAGGTTTTCTCTTGCCTTCGTGGGAGTTGATAGTGAACGTTAGATTCACCATATGTGCTGGGTCTGTGATTGGATCCGGAACAGAGACTCACATATCGCATCGTAGCTACTTCCGATGCGGTGGTATAGTGGGCCGGTCCGGCGTTCGGATTGGGGATCTTGACCACGAGCTGCCGATCATCCCGCATGGTCACTAAGAGTGCCTTGTTGAAGTTCCCTTCGGGGAGTTTGGAGATGGTGGCGCACTCGGCATTGTTGCCGGCGGCTTGCTCGGCGATGTGGATCAGAGCAGGGAGGTCAAACGCACGATATCTGCGCTGCAGCTGCTGGGTTTCATTCCAGAGCCAGCGTTGCGCGGAGTAGATGTAGAGGGTCTCGGGGTCGCGTTCTACGGGTGTGAGATGGTGAGCTATGTCGAAACTCGCTGCAGAGCATCTAATTAACACGGGGGTTAATACCTGCTATTTGTGGTTTCGGATTGCGCTCCCTCTTGACCGTCGTAGTGGACAATGATCGATGTGCGACTGTATGCAGCCTTGAACAATTGAGAAATACCAGGAAACTCGAAAACTTGCTGGCTTGTATTGGCATTTCTTGGGGATCTCTGGTGAGAATGTTGTAGATTCATCTGTCCGGTTTGTTGATAACGGACGAATCCAATCTGGAAATGCCGTCACGTGCTGTGGCATATACAATCCCATGGCACTCAGCCATGCTCTCTATCCCTACACCAAAGCAAGCTTGCCACTCGTCGAATTTTCAGAGATCGAGTTCAGACATTTATTCAACTACGTACGGTACTGTACTGTTCTCCGTGCTTTACATATAGCTAACTACTTACTAGGTACAGAACATAGATCGAAGGGTTGATTCCAGCATCACCACCCTGTAAGATGTCTCACCTCCCTCTGTGGTACTGTACAATCTTCAGTAAAGCGCTGCTCCAGCCAGTGACGAGATTCCTTCATCCGCGTGTTGGTAATGCTCGGAAAGAAAGAAAGGAAGAGGCGGTTAGGCCTTGAGCTTGAGCTAGCTCAAGCTTAACACTAAACTGATAACCTGGGGATCCCTTTTCCGGTTCACACTAAGAAGCTGTTACAAAAGTTAACATGTTTGTCTCTCGTCAACTTCAATTGTGCCCCCTTTCACTCACCGATCGCTTTCCGGTCTGTACCCTGGGTCCAGGGATGTTAGGCTCCTCGGTGCAGGGCAAGTCCATGGTCTCCGGCAAGTAACCAGAGTTAGGGACCTATGAAGAACACCATCAGCTCCATATCTCCTCATGGCGTCTTCCGTGGGAGGTTTACCAGCGAGTGGTCTGCTTGCTGGTCATGCGGGTCGGTTGAGCCGGCTGCTACCAGCGCACCAAGCATGACTACGAGATAGACGAGCTGCATCTTGTGTGTTGGCGGTGGGTAAAGGCACGAAAGCTGCAATGAAGAACGAGAAGTGAGGACGGGTGAACGGCGAAAGTGAAGCAGGAAGTTGCCAATTCCTGGAGTTTCAGTGTTTCATATACTAGGAACCGCAGTCATGTTTGAGGAATCTTATCACGACGAGATATGACAAGTCGATCATAGATAGTGCCAATATGTCGCGCGGCAGTTTATGCAGAGAATACTTGATTATTGACCCATCGATGCATAGTATCGAATATGTATCCGTATCTACCGTGCCAGTAGGTACGTTATGCGCCCACCTGGCACTCGGGAAGGAAGTACCGGTAGGTCGAAGCACAGTACCGGTACTTGGTGCTCTCGAGTGATTGACTTCAATGATCTTCTTGTCGAGTCGTACGACTGCAGATGCTAGTTCAAAACGGGGTACGGCGTACGGAGACTCATGATCAGTTTCCTGATGATCAGCGGATGTGACTTCTCCTATCTGACACCTCGGAAAATCCTGTATGTTTTCAGATCGTCAGAGAGACACAAGTAATTTCGAAAAGGCAAGCAACCCTGTTCAGAAAGATCAAGATGCATCAGTAGCACAAACTCGACCTTTCCGGGAAAGAGAGAGCGCCATTCATCAACATGTCCCTGCAAGAGTGATGAACTATGACAATATGGCTATAAGTTAAGGCCTGGTCTCTCGGGTTATTCAAGATCGATAATGGACTGACCTGTGGTCATATGAAGCCCGCTGTTGAGGACCGAAAAGGGGATTAGGCAAGCTCCCGTACTCACTTGCTGTTTTCTCTTTTGAAAAGGCAACCTACAGCTGTCTGAAGATGCTGAAGCGGTCTGTGCTTCTGCTGATAACCAGCATCGGTCTCTCCAAGCTGTCACTCAGTTGGCTCGGATCTGCATCGTCAACCTCACGTTCGGAGCCACATAGTAGTTCAAGCATCTCACCAGGGCCAAAAGTGCCCGAGTGCATCGAATCCTGGGAAACATACAGGAGCTATCGGCAGCGGCGCCAGAGCTCTACCGGCTTGACAGCCCGAAAGGTCTTGGTCGCGGACCTCAAGTCTCGTGTTCCCTCGTCCGAACTTGTGGAAGACGAGGATCCCTACCAAACGACGGTGTTCACTGGCGGAGTCCGACTCGAGATAGACCAGGAGGATATCCTAGGGCACGGCGCCAGTGGATTTGTCTACGGTGGCACCTGGATACCGCTGAGTGACGCATCCGACCACCAGCTGGATCTCCTGGGTCAGCAGGACGTGGCAGTCAAGGTCTCGCACGACCCATGGCTGCTATGGGAGGCCCATGTGATGAATCTGGTGCAGGGCGACCACGTTATCAGGGCCACCGCTACCTTCACGATCCCCCAGCCCAACGACACTCAGGCGCATAATGGAGCCGTCTACGCGATGGTCATGCCGAGGGTACGCGGCAGTCTGCAACTGTGGGCAAACGAACTGCCGCCCGCCAACCGAGCACGACAAACGCTGCCCGTCATGCTGCAGATGGTCGAAGCGCTGGTCCAGCTCCACCGACAGGGCTTCGCGCACCAGGACCTAAAGCTCGGAAACATGGTATATGACCGCACACCGACCGGAGAGATGCGCGTCCTGATCTCGGACCTGGATCGGATCACTCGTTCGCGGTATGTTCGCGGCAGCGCGGGAACGCTGGGGTATCTCTCGCAGGGTAGGTGACAACTCTGCCTTCTTCTTTCTCTCCTGGTAGTGTTGTACGTGATAACAGCTGAGACCGCTAACACGTAGCAGAAATCCTACTGAGAAAAACGTTTGATCCTATGAGCTCTGATGTCTTCGCGATTGGTATGGCTCTGCTTCAGTTGGCTTTCGATAGCATGTCCAGTCATGACTTTCGTATGCTGGTGTGGAGGACTGTGGTCGACGCCGCCAAGCCATCCAAGGTCAAACAAGCTTTGGTAGACTTGTTTGGTGGTGATCTGAAAGAGGGTCCGCTGAATCTGTTTACAAGATCTTTATGCGAGCAAGAGGGCCATGATGATGATGGAGAGTGGAAGCGTCGTATAACGGCGGAGGAGCTTTTAACAGAACTAAGAAGGATAGTAGATAGTGGACTGTGGTGATCCAATATGAGTTAGTAAGACAGTTAGTTCATGAATTATAGTAGAACTGGGAGGGGAAGGCTCGACCTCGGCATTTCCCAATCGGGCGACTAGCCAAAATGCGCAATGCGCACTGTACCTTAGTATAGATCGTCATGATGTAGACCCAAAGTCTGTACCTCTATACCTTGGGACGAGAAGGAGAGGTAGTTAACTTACTTTCGATGACATCAGTCAGATCGAGTCAACCACCGAGTAATGATATACTCACCAAAGTAAAAGGTCACAAAATTGGGGAATTGAGTATTACCCCGACCTCGGCATTCGCGCCGACCGCATTCCCCGCATTTCCGCCTCCACACCGATTCCTCCTCCTCCTCCTTCTTCTTCCTTTCTTTCTTGTCTGGCTAAACAGCTCCCTCATCCTCATACTTCCATGCTTGCTTAACCAGCACTCGAAGCTGCTCAACTCATTCGACACAGTCATCCTCCTAAGATGGTCGCTGCCGTCCGCATCGCCCCCTCGGCCTCCACGCGCGCCCTCAACCTCCTGCGCACAGTCCAGTACACGCATCCGCCCTCCTGTCCATGCCATTCCAACCCCAATCACCATCACCACCATCGCACACCTACTCTCAGCGAACATGTTCGTCGTCACATGGCCACCCCGACAGACCCTTCGCGCCAGAAGGAATATGCCTTCGAGATGGCCGCCTCGAGCATCCGCTTCGGGCCGGGAGCCACCAAAGAGGTCGGCATGGACTTTGCCAACATGAAGGCCAAGCGGGTGTGCATTGTAACAGATGGGAATGTCGCCAAGTTGGATGCTATGAAACAAGCTGTCGAGGGTTTGTCGCGGGAGGGCATTGAGTTCACTGTCTTTGACAAAGTGCGGGTGGAGCCCAAGGATAGCTCGTAAGCTCGCACCACTGTTTTCGTCCCTTCGTGCACATCTAATAGTGATACAGAGTCAAAGACGCGATCGCATTTGCCAAGCCTTATAATCCAGATGCCTTTCTTGCCGTTGGTTCGTATTCCACCTCCTTGTCTATCCCTTGCTAACCCTCGCAGGCGGCGGTTCCGTCATCGACACCGCCAAACTGATGAATCTATACACCGTCTACCCCGAAGCCGACTTTCTCGACTTTGTCAACGCCCCACTGGGCAAAGGCCTGCCTGTCACCAAGGCCCTCCGCCCATTGATCGCCGTCCCGACGACCGCGGGTACGGGGTCTGAAACCACGGGCACCGCCATCTTCGATCTGGTCTCGAAGAAAGCCAAGACGGGGATTGCGCACCGCAACCTCAAGCCCACTCTGGGGATTTGCGACCCGCTCAACACACGGACCATGCCGTCGGCTGTCCACGCTTCTTCCGGTCTGGATGTGCTGTGCCACTCGCTCGAGTCATGGACGGCCATCCCGTACAATGAGCGCACTCCTCGTCCCACCAACCCGATTAATCGCCCGGCGTACCAGGGCGCCAACCCCATCTCCGACATTTTCTCGCTGCAGGCCCTCCGCAGCACGGTCAAGTACCTGCCCCGGGCGGTCAAAGACCCGGAGGACTTTGAAGCGCAGTCCCAGATGCTGTTGGCCGCGACGCTGGCGGGCGTGGGATTCGGCAACGCGGGCGTGCATCTGTGCCACGGGATGAGCTATCCGATCTCGAGCCAGAACCCGGGCTACAAGCACGCGGGCTACGATGTCGACCACCCGATCATCCCGCACGGGGTGTCGGTGGCGGTGACGGCGCCGGCGGTGTTCCGATTCACAGCGGCGTCGAACCCGGACCGGCACCTGGCGGCGGCGGAGGCGTTCGGCGTGGACATCTCGAACGTGAAGCGGGAGAGCGCGGGCGAGGTGCTGGGGGAAGCGCTGGCAGAGTTTCTGGTGAAGCTGGGCGACCAGCCGCGGGGGTTGAAGGATCTGGGGTTCCAGCGGGGGGATATCGAGTCGTTAGTGGAGGGGACCCTACCGCAGAAGCGCGTGTTGGATCTGGCGCCGAACTTGAATAGTGAGTTGGAGGGGGAGAAGGCTGAATTGCGGGCGTTGTTGGAGGAGTCGATGGAGTATTAGCTGCACTACTTAGGTTGAATGAATGACTAGTTGCATACCCCGGTCATCCCCGCATTCCATCACGCCTGCAAATCATCCGACCGATTCCCAATCTCTTCATATAAGTAGGTAGTACTGCACTGTACCTGCCTCTTACTAACTTAATTTTCTTTTCCTTTTCACTCTCTTCTCAATTCAATCCCCCCCCCCCCAGAACCGACAAAATGCGCCCTCCCCTCCCCTTCCCCCTCATCTCCCTCTCCCTCCTCCTCACCCCCTTCCCAACCCACGCAACTGGAACCACCCCGCAAACCCCCTTAGAACAAGACCAAGTAATCAAAACAGGCAACCCCCTCCCCCTGCCCGGCCCCTGGCCCTGGTACGCCGACCCGGAAGCCCACCTCTTCCCGCACACAGGCCCAGCAACCCAACCCCAGACCCAACCCCAACAGAACTACTGGATCTACCCCACCTACAGCGCCGCCTACGAGCAACAAACCTTCTTCGACGCCTTCAGCTCCCCCGACCTAATCACGTGGACCAAGCACCCCACCGTCCTCAACATCACGCAGATCCCCTGGTCCACGAACCGCGCGGCGTGGGCACCGTCCGTCGCCCGACGACCCATCCCAGCGAACAAGCGTTCCAACCCCCCCAGCGCACCTGCAAACACCCCCCCTCCAGCCGAACCAACCCCCGAGGATGAAACCGAATACGAGTACTACATGTACTTCTCCACCGGCGACGGCACGGGCATCGGGGTCGCCAAATCCACCACCAACTCGCCGGCGGGGCCGTTCGCGGACGCTCTCGGAAAGCCCCTGGTGAATGGCACGGTGATGGGGGCGGAGGCGATCGATGCGCAGGTTTTCGTGGATTATCCGGCCAGTCAAAACTCAGGAGGGGGGGGCACAGGGGGCGACGGCGACGGGGACAACGGCAGCGACACCACACCCCGCGTCTGGCTGTATTTCGGGGGCTGGGGCCACGCGGTCGTGGGGGAGCTGGATGCGGAGAGTATGACCGCCCTGAAGGGGGGGTTTGTGGAGATCACCCCGCCCGATTATGTGGAGGGGCCGTGGGTGTTGAAGCGTCGGGGGGTTTATTATTTTATGTATTCGGTGGGGGGGTGAGTTTTCCCTTTTCAAGTTTCTTTGGTTTGGGTGTTTGGATCTGGGGGAGTGGGCAGGCTGGGGGGGGCAGCTGGGCAGCTGGGCTAACTGATTTGATATAACTTAATGTACAGCTGGGGTGACAACTCCTACGGCGTCAGCTACGTGACGGGTCCCTCGCCGACGGGGCCGTTCAGCTCCACCCCCACCAAGATCCTGCAGGGCAACGACAAGATCGGGACGAGTACCGGCCATCACAGTGTGTTGACGATCGGCGAAGAGTACTACATCGTCTATCACCGACGGTATCCCAACGATACGGCGCGGGATCATCGTGTCGTGTGTATCGATCGCATGGAGTTCGACGCGCAGGGGAATATCCTGCCTGTGAATATCACGCTGGAGGGGGTGGATGCTAGGCCTTTATGATTGCTTTTTTATCAGATGGATGTCCTGGGGGTTGTAGAGTTACGCTGTGATACTTCTTTTCTAGTTGTGAGCGCAACGGTGGACTCACAGCAGGACAGAAGCGTCCTTGTTTAAAGTACATGTATACGGGGGACGCCTAAAATAATAAATCCATTCGTATTTCATATGCAGGTACAGTATATGCAAGGGTATCATTTCAAAACATCGAACTCCGCTTCTTACTCAACTTCGCCTCATCCGCCGACGACCGTCGTAATCGAAAGAAACTGCTCTTCTTCGGCTGCAACGCCGGTTTCGCTTGTTCCTGTTGCTGCTGCTGCTCCGGCGACAACGAAAAGCGCACCACCGACTGGTGCCGCGGATCGACCCGCCCTGCACCATGAATCCGGGGCCGTCCATCCTGGTACGGATAACTGTGTGGCTGTGGCGGGTTCGCCGGCCTCAGGGGCAGACTCGGGGCAGGAGCAGCAGCAGCAGCAGCAGCAGCACTCATCCGCGGGGGCAGCGGCCCCGGGACCCCGGACGCCTGCATGCGCACGCGCTCCTCCTCCTGACCATAGATCCTCTGCAGCCGGAGCGTCTCGCGATCAATCTCCGCCTGGCGCTCCGCCGCGCGCTGTCGTCGCGTCCGCTCCTCTTCCTCCAGTAACAGCCGCGTGCGGCGCTCCTCCTCTTTGCGCCAATTCTCCGCCGGTGATACCGCAGGTTGCGGCAGGGGTTTCGACAGCTGTTGCGATGACTGTCGTGACGTCGGCGATGATGACGGCGCTAGAGGCGACGAGGGCGACGCATTTAAAGCCCCCGATGCCATAGCCACCGAGGAGCCTATCGTCGTACCTACTACAGGTCTCTGCTGCTTGACTGGGCCCCCCTCCCTCCCTCCACTCCCAGTCCCCGAAACTGCTGCCGGTGCCCCGGACTTCCCCACACGGAACGCCTCCCGCAACCCCTGCGGCGCAAACCAGACATCCCTGATCGTCACGGCGGCCAACAACAAGACGACCTCCAGCCCCTTGAAATCCTCCATCTCCACCCGGTAGAGGTTCGGCTCATACAGGGTCAGCTCCTTCAGCGACTGAAACATGGCCACGGTAATATCCGGCTCCTTCGCCTTGGTTTTGGACTCCGGGAGCGTCGTCGTCTTGCCCGACAGCACGCAGGTCAAATCCTTGCTCAGCTTGCTGTCCTTCCGCCACGCGAACCGCAGCTTCGGCGTGATGTCGGCGGAGGCCGGGTCGGCCTGGGTGCGATCGAGCCGCGACGTTGACGGCTGCCGGAAGCTGTGCTGCGGCATCTCGAACCACCAGGTCACCGGGCTGTTCCAGGACTTGGGCTTGAAGTGGACGGTGACGGTTTGATCCGGGTTGTACAGGTTGATGGTGAAGGTGGTGGGGAGGAGGGGTTCGGGCGCCGGGGTGGTGCCGTTGTTGGCGCGGATGGCGTCGGCGGAGAGGGTCGGAGTGGTCCATTGCGGGAGGATCAGGACTTCCCCGTACAAGATGGAGGGGACGTGGGCGTCGTAGAGGGCGGCCGCGTAGCGGTTGTGGGCGTCCGCCGGGGTCGCGATCGTGGTCGGGTCCGGGTGTCGCAGGGTGTAAGTCGGTTGCGGGTCGTTGCCGTGTTGGTAAAGGTGGATGGTGGTTTGGTGGGGGGTTTGGCGGGAGGGTTTGAGGTAGAATGCTAGTTTATAGGGTTGGTCAGTCAGTCAGTCAGTCGCGATGTTGTTGTTGGGTTCATGGTGAACCGGTGAAGGTCGTGAGCGGGCGGGTATACAAGGGAAGAAGTGTAGAAGGCAGAAGACATACTAGGGAGGTTCTCGTCGAGCATGGTGCTGGTTACTTCATTCACCGATCATGAAAAGATTCCAAAGGAAGGTACCAGTAGACTAGATGCCATTGGAGAAGTTATATACTTGACATAAGAGTGAACGAGTTCCGAAGTGTCGGTCTGGATCTTGTTATTGTCCGGGGATTGTTGAATGATGAAAGATGAAACACAATCGCGGGAAGGCATGCGAATTGGCTGCCTCAGGCCATCCGGGGGCACTGCTTTGCCCCACCCGCTATAAATAGCTTTCTCTAACTTACTACAGGTCAAATATCCTCAATATAACTGGCATTCATTCCTGACATCTACATCTACATAGGCAACAGGAATCCTGCCGGCAGGATCATCTTGTGTTTTTCTTTTTCCCCAAGCAAAAAAGCAGGATCCGACAAAATAGGCACCATGGTTTCCAAGTCGCATTGTCGAATAGACTGACATGCCGATGATTACTGTCTACGGCTACGGCCCGGGGAGGCTTCCTGTCGACAGCCTAGAGCGGAGTTCTCAGTTTAAGCCTTCTCCTCCCAGGCAGACGCATATTTATCGAGTAAGTATAAGCACTTTGCGAAAGAGATTGATCAACAAGCGGTGGAGTGTGGCTTAGTGGTTATTTGACCGTGTAGATCACTAAGGTATGCATTCTGCCAACATTCCCTCGGAGGATACTCTGTAAAGCACAGGCTATAGGTGACGTGACATGCATCGAGGAACACAAAGTTCATACACCGATTGCCAATGTTTACAAAAGAAGCAAATATCACCTTGTACTCGGACTCATTTTATTGAAATAGGGACAGGATCGCGCGCATACTACCTAATAATCATCAGATATATCAAGGATCGCACAGATCCTAGCTGCTAGTACCAATCACCAGCTGCATCAAGCCACACACACAAGCTGGAACTCTACTTATGCATGTCACGGCCCCTGCCTCAAGGCAGACAGACATTCTAGTAGACTCGTCTTAGCTTCGCCTCGTGGAGAGGCTACTAGACCCCAGCACCGCGGTGAGGTGCGAGTCTGTTCGCTGGGGACCTGTTGTGTTAGCTGGACTTAGGAGTGTTGGAGCTTACCTTGTGGTCAGGTTGTCGAAATCGAAGGAAGGATCAGAGGAGGGAGGACGGAGGGAGGAGGACGTTCGGAGGATGCTGGATACCCGGACGAGGTTATAGTGGGGTATGGTCTCGACACCGAGTATCCTGCAGTGGCGTGAAAGGACGGAGGGAGGAGGACGAGGACGAGGACGACGTTCGGAGGGAAGGCTCGGAGGACGGAGGATGCAGAGTATCTTGGCGAGGTTATAGTATAGTATAGTATGGTATGGTCTCGCCAAGGTTACTCTGGCAGTGGCGTGAGAACAACGGAGGAAAGGAGAACGGAGGAGGAGGGCGGAGGAGGAGGACGAAGGGAGGGAGGAAGGACGACGCATGAGAGTCATAAAGGCGAGGGTGTAGTATAGTATAGTATAGTCAGGGTGGTCTCCACACTTCATCCTCTCATGCCTCGAGGCGATAAACAGACGCGTATCTGCGGTCTCTCGTAAGATTAGCAAGGTCAACTCTTCCAACGGGTCTACAGGAACCTGGATGTGTCAAGCCAGCAGAGATGATGTCTCGAGTCTGATTGAGTCAGTCCTCGAGGTGACATCTCCTAGGATATGCGAATACAAAACCAAGGTCAAGGGCGGGGGGAATGAGAAGAGGACGAGAGTGAGGGGAGAAACATGGGGATGTTGGGGTAAACAAAACCAGTCATATTGGATTTTGAGATTCACGCAGCGTGGGGAATCGTGTGTTACTGTAAACAGTGAGTTAGGGTCAGGGTTACTGGGCTGGATGGACTTTTTATGAACAACCTCACAGACAAAGACTTTCACTGCGCAGTTGCTGTCTTTGTCCCTGATGGTTCTTGGAAGAGACAATGCTATTGTTCGATCATTATCAGCGAACTGGTGCACGTATACCAGTAAACAAGGGATTCTTTGCTGCTATATAGTCTTTCATGCATTATCTACTGCGAGTATAGCAACGATCTTTCAAGAAAACCTCTCTCTAAGTGTAAAATCCAGTCAATCTCCATCTAAGCCCGAACCCCATCTATTTCCTTGCCCTCCGGCACTTTGGCAGCCTCACGCTCCGCCGTACTCAGCTGCAACCCCTGGTCATCCCAGCCCTGCGTACCGATCTTATACAGCTTCTTCTGCTGCTCTCGGTTCGGCATCGGACCCGACTTCCCACGGCGCTGCCGCGACTCCAGGGTCTCTACCAAGGTGGCATTGTCCCCGTCCAGCGGATATCCCTCGAGGTCATCCCTGTCCTCCTCCTCCGAGAACACGTATGTGCGGTACTCCGTATTCGACCAGCCGGTTCCTATCCCGTGTTAGCTTTCATCCAGATCTCCAACCAATGCACCCTGACCACCTACCCTGGAACTGACTGCTATCCTCCCAGTCCTCCGTGAAGTAGTGCAAGAACCCGCCATGCGTGACCAGAACAATCTCCTTCTCCGGTCTCCCCTTCAACCACCGTCTCGCCGCGCGGGCCCTGTCCTTGATCGCCTTGTTGGTGGGGGCAAATCGACCGGACTGTACATTCGCCCCTCTCCATTAGCACATCCGGTCATCCTAGACGAAGACTGAACAGGAATAAAATACCTTCACGTTCCAACCTTCATAGACCAAGCTCAAGTCGACAGGGAGTTTCTTCTCCTCCATCTCCTTGCGCAGCACATCTGGGTCACTGCCCGTGTCGCATGCCACATCGCTGGTCTCCTGGGCATCCGGGAGAGCAATCACTTCGAGACCGGGGCGGGTCTTGAAGACGGGCTCGAAGCTCTGGAGTGCGGTGTAGATGGTGCGGCGGAGGGGAGAGGCGGTCACCAGGTCAATGTGTTCGTGGCGGGGGAAGGTATCGCGGAGGGTGCTGCATTGTTCGTTACCCAGGTCGGTGAGGAGGGGATCGTGGATGACGTGGTTGGCGGTGCAAAGGTTATGCACGCCCTGGGGCGGAAGGCGTTAATCATAGGCAAGTCTCGATGCGAACAGACAACTTACCTGGGCGTGGCGGACGCAGTGAACGATCGGGGGCATAATTGGTCTATAAATTGTAGGTATGGTTGGGGTCTGAAGTGGAAGGGTCAAGGTCAGCATAGAGTCAGAGCAACGTGGGGTAGCGGGGCTGATAGTGAAATTTGGATAAGGAGGGGAGACGCCACAATCTGATGCTGTAGATGGGGTATATTCTCACCTGTAATGTGTATGTAGTTATAAGAGATATGTTTATGTTTCAATAGTTCTAGCAGAAGACAAAGAACAGGGGAAAAACTGTTCGCAACAAGGGGCAAAGATCAAATTGAGGAGGAAGAGAATGAGAAGTTCAAGAGACAAGAGAGGAGAGGAAAGATGGATGAATCTACCTAATGCCGAGAAAAGAGCCCGAAAGAGCGGGCCCGGGTACGGTACAAGTGGCGGGCCAGGGGAGGCGGCGAATCACTTCCGCCCACGCCCGCACACCTGCTTCTTTTACTGCCAGCCAGGTGACGGAGTACTCATTCCATCTAACTAACCAACGTTACCGGTGGCAACATTACAAACCACAAATCTCGCAATTATAAGTAGAGTATATGTATCTGAGTAATTCCAGTTCCCTTATCCACAATCCCTAGATAATGCCCCAATGTCCCCACCATCCATATGCCTTGAAAAAACCGGGTATGTATGACTATAATGAATAAATACTAAGAGTAGATAACAACTATACAGCTCCCTTGGGTATGTATGTCCTCTTACGCAACGCCAAATCCTCGTGCGTTCTCCAACGCTTTGCTCAGCTTCTCCTCTAGAACACTCCTGGATGAGTATTCGGGAAGCAGTAATCGTCCGAAACACGTCAGACTCGTGGGAAGGCGCTGCGGTTTGTCAGTACAACTGTACAGTTTACAGTCGGTAGTCGAGCGAAAGGGGCAGTGGCTTACAGCATCCCCAACTCCATTCTTCTGAATCACAAACATGATGCTCGCAATCCCATTGACCGGCACCCGGTCACTCGCCGTCACAAACTCCAATAATTGTGCCCTCTTTTCCGCAGGGTACCGTCGCACGATGCTCCAGAAGTCCCGAATCACCCGGTGACTCGCGCTGAACCCGCCTTCGTACCGCGCGTGACGCTCCAATTCTCGCATATCAATCGTCTGGATGCCCTCCACCACGGTCTTGAATGACTCGGCAGTGAAGATCGATAGCGCGGTCCGGTCCAAGCAGGTGTAGAACCCCTTGGCAAAGGCTTCGAACTGTGGCCGGACGGACTTGTCCGTCAGCCAGAAGATGTAATCCTTCACAAACTGCCCGCGATTGGCGTTCGTCACGAGACACGCTTCCTCTGCCGGGGGAGTAGGCGACTGAGCCGCCAGCGCGGGCAAGGGATCAACGGACTTGGCCACGTCCCGATACGAACCCGCCGTTTCTGCTGCCATAGATGAGGGAGGACTCAAGTTGACGTGGTCCGTGTAATGACGGACTTCCGACCATGGCGGCGAGTACCCGAGAGACCGAGTGCCGGTTAAAGGCGGTCGGAGGGGCAGGAACGGTGTCGGCCACGGGGCTTCCTTATCAATTTTCTGCATGTCCACCGTCTCGACGTTGCCGAACACTTCGTAGCTGAACTCGTAGGTCCGCAGGAAAATGTCTCCCACATCACCCTCCTCCCACGCGAGGAGGTCCTCCAATCCCTTGGTGAGCTCCGGCCAGCCGTCTTGAATATGGTCCAGCTGTTTGACCTTGAGTCCTAGCAGCTTTCGGTAGAACGCCGTGGGAAAGTTGACCGGAAGTGTAAGCCCATTGTATACAGCCAGGGACATCAGCAGCCCGAGGAGCTCGAACTTGTAGAGTGGCTCCAAGGAACATGGCTGGAACCAGGAGATGCGGGTTCGTCCGTCCAGCGTAAACATGCCGTACGCTGGATCCAGAGCCTCTGCCATCAAGACACGGAAGAATTCCTGCTGGACCCCGCCGTGATCGAGACCTTCCTCGCCCTCATCCATTCCCATTTGCACTTTCAGAGGTCGCATGAGCTCGCGCCTCTCGCGCCGCCAGAGCTGGTTGAGCGCGTCCGTGAGGACGCTGTCTCGGCGCACGGTAAGAACGAGGTAGGTAGTCATCGACGTCTTCATACGTGCCAGCAGGCCGACGTCATCGTGAATATGGATAGGCCCGAACGCAGTTTGTGTGACGTGCCTCGTTGTCGTCAACGCCGCTTCGTAGTATTTCGACATGGCTGCATAATTCAAGGCGCGGAAGTAGATAACAAGTGAGGAGGGGGGGAACAGAAACGGGTACGACAGAAGATGCATGGTTTTGTTACTCGGCAATCGGTTTAGCCATTCCACTGGCATATCCAGAGGCTCCAGCCTTTCGGCAAGAAATGAAGTGTGAAAGTCTTCCGGTACAAGGCCGAGACGGTTCCGCTCCTTGTACAACTTGGCCAGGATTTGTACAGCTCCGCCAGCAGAACTGCTCTTTGGCATTTCGGGATTACCATCCCACTCCCGCAACAGCAGAGTCCGGAGCCATTCGGCGACGAACGATGGAGCCCCGGGCTGGGATGGCTGCTCCTGAGTGGTGCCGTCGGTTGACATGGCTTTATATTCCTCGATCAAGTTGTCCACAAGACGGTCCAAAGCGCTGTCCTTGCGACGTTTAGTAAAATCCCGCGAATAGACATGGCGTGTTTTGGAGATCTCGTTGAACGCCAGGCGTGCCGTGAGACCCCGCACCAGGCGATCAACCAGTCGTAGAGCAAGCTCATGCTCGAACATGTCGATAGTCTCGACGATTACCCGAGACCTGGATACTGAATGCTTCTGCATTTCTGAGCCAGATGCCACGCCTCCCGCAGCACGCATCTGAAGGATTGCGCGCCATGTAGGCGCATCGACCCTAGGCAGCGAGCTCGCGAGAGCGAACATGGTGACTGTAGCAACATCCGCAGCATTTGTATCTGTAAGATGCTCCATGCCCACTGAACTAGACCGACGAAGGATAGGAGCAGGGATAGAAGCAGACGTAGTAGAATTGCAAGACGAACGACGCGAACGTCTGCCCGATGCCGATAGCTCTTTTGGCGGCACAAATAACGATTCCATCGCACCCCACAAGCTGTGGAATACAACATCTCGGGGACAGATACTGAGTAACTTGATAAACGACGGCTGTAGCTGTCGTAAATCAAGGTTGGAAGTTGCTCTGCTCTGATCCGCTTCGGATGAATCAGCCGCATGCTTTTGAAACGACCTCAGTATCTGTTTCGTGCTGCTCAAGGTAAAGAACACGCTCTGTGCGATGAAATTGTAAACCTGTCGCTGTCGGATGTTCGCAAAGCGCCATTCGGAATCTTCAAAGCTGCCGGTGAACTCTATGTGGGCAAGCTCTTTCCTCCACCGCTCCTCCTCATCCTCGGAGGTTGCCGTCATCTGCGCCAATCCATTCACCACCTCGCTATTAAGATGGCTCACCGACTGGACAGCCGTTGCTGGCTGTTTTCGGCTGGGGCTCCGACGGCTGGGCTTCCGATCAGTCGGTGATTGAGCTTGCGAGGGAAGATGCTCTTCAACAGACGGGACCGGATCCAAGTAATCGACAAACTGAACATTATTCAAGTATTTTGCCCCATCCCAAGACACTCGCCGCTCTTTCTTCTGCTGCAGAGCCAGGTCAATGTTATCCGTGTCCCCGACCCTCCCCCGATGCTTTTGAGGACGGTGTCTCAAGGCGGGTGGTGAGGGCACATTGGCCGATCCATCATTATCTGCATGTGCGTTGACGGGGATCTTGCGCGCCGGTTTCAGTTCATGGTGGGATTTCTCATCCAAATTCGCCCGTCCACTCCGACGCCATTGATCCATTTCCGTAAGCGTAATCGGTACCGTTAGCTCTAATGCGGTGTTCTGACTAGTGCCGTTCCGCGATGAAGGAGTATGTGGTGTACCACCAGCAAGGGTGGCATTTTGAGGTGTACGTTGTCGGCTCATATGTGGTCTCGTCCGTTGAGAATGCGAAGGCGTCTGTTCAGGCTCGCTCTTCGGCAGCCTAGGTTCCGGTCGAGTGTGGTGCTGGTCAATGTTGGCGTCGAGAGCGGTCGGAGACCGCCGTAAAGGTAACCACTCTATCATTCTCAAGGATAAGGTATCGAAAAGGTTTTGCGTAAACGATTTGGGATCCTTCTGTCTCTGGGCTGCAGCGTGTTCATCCTCCGACAATGCCGCTTGCTGCTCAGACGAGTCCGCCTCCTGAGGCGCGCTAATGTCTGCGGCCTTGTCCGAGCTCGACAGCATCGGCCGATCGTGTGGTCTTCGGGAGTCCTGGCGTACGACCGCCGTGTCATCGTGGTATCTCCCGATTGAGCCCAGTGCCTCTGCAGGTTCAACCAGGGTGCGACTTCGGCGTTTCGGTCGGCGCTGTGGCTCATATGGTGACAGTTCATATGGTACCCTAGGAGGGTTACAGCAGAGTCCTGCTTCGGCATTGTCTATACTGGCCAAGTAGCAAGCCAGGGTCCGGGCACTCAGTTCTGTATAACGGCGATATGGTCCTTCGGTGATCCGTCTCCGATAGCTCGCGCAGGTTGGGGTCTGACAGCCAGGGTTCACGCAGCCGTACATAAGCTGGTTCTTATATCTTGGTCCTTCCGTCAGCTACTGCTGGATCGTACGAAAGTTGCGTTTCATCCGATCTCACTCACCTGCGAACCAGAAGGTTAAACTGGCGCCGTCGCTCATCGCGACACCAGAGCAAAACCTGAGCCGGGTCGGACACATCGATTGTGTTCAATACAACAATTTCCGGCGCATTCGGAGGGAGCTTGGATCGGTGTAGGTGCGATCGGTCGGAACCAGCGCCGCGCGCGGCGTCATATGAGCTCACGGAAGCTCCGCGGAGCCTCGTCATCTTGACAACCTGCGGAGCATGCCGCGACTACCCAACCAGAAAATTGAAGGGGGAAGAGGAAGTTGCTTGTACAGGCAGTATGACCTTACCTTGGTTGGAGGGGGTATCTTGAATGGCCCGAAGCAGTAATAGTGGTGTTACTTGTTTATGTGCGGTGGTGCAGTGAGGAGGGGTGGAAGACGTGCGCACAGAGGGCAGATGATCGATATCATGGCACGCACAGCACAGCACTGGGCACTGGGCACTGGGCACTTTACGGGCATTCCCCGACGTGGTGGCCGCCTCAGGCATTCAAATTAATAAGCAGACTTACGGAAGCTGGAACAAGCAGTAATCCCGAGTCACGTGATCCTCTGTATCTGAGCCTACTCTAAGTCAGATGGAAGCACGTGCCTGAACGTCATTCCAGCGATGAGTAAAAGCGGCAAGGCGAGGATTTTCAGGCATGCAAAAAGTCGGACGAACACTAATTAGTTATCGGCGCTGATTATCAATACTCTCCGAAGGCGAATATCTCAAACTCCTGGTTGTTTCTTACACCACCCTCCTCGTCACAACTTTTTGTCTAGCTGGATTCCCTTGTTCCACTTTCTTCGAGAATACAGTGGTCATTCTTTATTGAGCTGCTGTCCTGTGAGGTGAACTTTTGTTCAGTGAAGAAAACATATACCCCGCTTTGATAACACCCACAACCGCCTAACGACTTTTTCTACCCGTCTTCCACAACTTTTCTACTTTTCGTGATACCCATTTTGCTGAGCGCCACTCTTTGTCACATCAAATTAAAAAAAAAATGGCATCCCTTCCATACACCTGCAACACCTGTCTTGTTGCTTTTCGCGGCAGCGATGCGCAGCGGGACCACATGCGCCGAGACTGGCAGTAAGTTGGAAGCCATCCGTCCTGCCTTTTTGCTGAGCTCAGCGACTGACACCTACAAACAAGCCTGTATAACATGAAGCGTCGCATTGCATCTCTGCCTCCCGTGTCTCAGGAAACCTTCAACGAGAAGGTTCTTGCCGCCAAAGCGACCACCACTGCCGCCGCCGCCAAGGCCGCCTTTGAAACGACCTGCGTCGCCTGCCAGAAGACTTTCTACAGCGAAAACTCATATCAAAACCATATCAAGAGCTCCAAGCACAAGGCCCGCGAAGCGCGTATGAAACGCGAACATGCCGACGATGCCTCGTCAGTCATGAGCTCTACTTTCTCCTTGGGCGAGCCTATCAACAAGCCCCAGCGCGTCGGTGAGGCAGAGGTGTCTAAGGTGGCCGATACTCTGAAGGAGGCCACTATTGAAGAGGAAAATGAGGAGGGTGAAGATGAAGAGATGTCAGATGACTCTTTTTCGTCTGCCCGTTGCTTGTTCTGCCCCAACACGGCAGCCGATATCCAGGAGAACACTGAGCACATGCTCAAAGCCCACGGCATGTTCATCCCGGAGAAGGAGTATCTGGCCGACTTGGAAGGTCTCCTTAATTATCTCTACCGCAAGATCAACGAGAACAGCGAATGCACTTACTGTCATGTTATCAAGAATAGCCCCGCCGCTATCCGCACCCACATGAAAGACAAGGGTCACTGCATGATTGCTTTCGAGTCCGAGGATGAGCAGATTGAGATCGGCCAGTACTATGATTTCCGCAGCACTTACTCCGATGATGAGGGTGATTGGGAGTCGACAACTAGCGAGACGCCCGAGGAAGGAGGGGTTAAGATTGAGGGCGAAGATGAGGGCTGGGAGACTGAGACCTCCGCGTCATCCGTCGATGAAGATGAGCTGGACAACCGCAAGAGCGCACCCGTGGTCTACGCCACTGATTATGAACTCCACCTTCCTTCTGGAAAGAGCGTTGGCCACCGCTCCCTTGCCAAGTACTATCGCCAGAACCTCCACAACTACCCCTCTGCCGATGAGCGCGCGGCCCATCAACTCGCCATCGAGAACGGTGAGGCTATGGACGTGGATGAGAAACCTCGCGGTCGTAACCTCAACCGAGCCCTCATCACCCGTGCCAACGGCGGTACGGGCATGATCGGTGTTTCAGACACCCAGAAACGTCTGGTTGTGGAAAGCGAGCGTAAGGAGCGCACTCGGGCTATTCGACAAGAGATGCGGCACATGGCTCGGGTCAACCGCGCAGGCAACAACCAAAAACACTTCCGCGTATGTCCTCCCCTCTATGATTTAAGCGACCAAGCTAACATGGCGTTCAGGATCCTCTCCTGCAATAAACTCATGGATATGTTCTATCTACATCATTTGATGAGTATATGATTTGGTCGAGGTCGTTTGTTTCCGTTGCCTGTTGGGTTTCTGCACTTGATTTCGAGCATTACACTTTGGAGTTGCGGTAGGGTACATCTTTGTACATACTTTAGTATGGCAAAAGTTTAGATCAAACAATCACTACGATCTACATGTCTGATTGGCTATTCTACTAGCGATATCAATCGGCACCTCTGGTGGATCGACCACATAAGACAGGAGCTCTTCCCGCCGTGGGCTCAGCTCGTATGGATCGTGTGTAACCGATGTCTTGATGAACTGTACAACACATATCCTAGTCGGACTCAATTTTGGGTTGTGGGTTTCAGTCACATTTGGACAGTCAGAGTTAAATCCAGCTTTTTACCTGTCCCAGGTGTAGAAAGGACGAGAGGACGAAGATTGCTGTTGATCTTGCTGTACTACTCCCACTTAGGGCTCGCTAAAGCGGTGTTCTTTGTGTAGACTCTAGACCATAGCCTGAAACGGAATGAGAGCACGTGTGCAGGCAACTCTTCATTCCGGTAGACGATGCTAGTCCATTACTGTTATAGATTAGAGCACTTCATCACTAGCGCTGGCGCGGGGTTTGGCCTGGGCTCTGAAGCAGTGGAGACTGGACACATAGGACCCCTCTCAGTAGGCTAGTGCTACTTATTTGAATCTCTTTTACGTCTCTATTGAGTAGGTAGCCTACAGTAGCTCATAAATAAGTTCGAATTTGCCGGACACCAGTTCTCATAACAATCACAAACCTGAACCTTATGTGGCGAACAAGGTTCGTATAGAAAATTCTTCAGAAGAACAGCAGGATTTTAAGCTTGTCTCAATAGACATACAAGATATACAAGATCCGGAGGGGGGACCTCAATTTGTAGTTGACGAGCTGCGGTTGTGAATATGTCAGTTGGTCACCTTGGGCTCGTCCTCAACTCCCCCCCCCCCACATCTCATGAGGCACTGAGACACGTGCTCTCATGCTGTCTCCGGCTAGGTCAATGCCTTCCCAACGAGAAATGAAGCTACTCCGATACGAGGTAAGGATGAGAGGAAGAAATTTAACTATTGAGAAAATTTTGCAGCGTATACCCCACGCGCTTGCATTGAGAAATTAGTTGGCATTTATTATATCCCAGAATGACCAAGTTTGGTTCCTACCTAGGTAAGATGGTTTGTTTGTACAACAGTATAAGTTCGTAACTTACGTAGTCAACTACAGAGGGTTAGTTATACGGCTCAGCTGACTCATCCCCCTTCGCAAACAGCTGTCACGGGGCACGGACCAGCTTCTGGATCAAGATCGCAGTCCCTGCATCTGATTGGTGAGAGTTCGAAGGCAGATTACCCGGATCTTTCCTTGCCCTCATCGAAATCGTGACGAGGCGAGGGCCTGACGAACACGGCCGCGACCGGCTATTTACCGTGGATACCTCAGGTATCAATCACTGGCACCAGCTTCCAACTCCTTCCGCCGGGCTAGACCCTGTTCAGAACTGGAGCTGAGTTTCTTTCTTTCCAGAATTCAATTCTTGTCCGTGAACAACAATCAACAATCAACAATCAATCATCCGTCTTATCTTAACAGTACGGGGTTCTCCTGAAGTTTCACAAGGCGAAACCCTTCCCCCTGGAGACCCTCTGCACTCCTGAACAAGATTTACTCAAATCATATTTATAGGAGACGAGCGATCGCCTCCTTAACCTCCTGTGCCGCCTTTCTCCCTATTTCCCGACTGGGGGCGACGTCACTCTATCCACTACGGCACTGACCCGATCGCACGCCGCGCCCTTCTTAGCCCACTAAGGCAACGTGAACCTTTCTCTCTCTCTGCATCTCATCCCCTCCCACACCCACACCCACCCCCCATCTCCCCCCCCAAACGAAAATCCGCCGCTACTGCTTAGTCTTTAAAATAAATATGTCCCTGTTGTAGCCCAGGCTCAGGGCCCTCCTTCCCTTTTTCTTCGAGATTCCTCTTTCTCATCTGTCCCATCGGTGATGGCGATATCCCCATCCACCCGCATCTTGGCCGCCCGGCCTCTCGTCCTTGGTCTTGCCAAGCTGTTGACTCTCGCCTGTGTGAACCTGCCTCTCATCTCCGCCGCTCCTACCTATGTCATTCATTCCGAAGTCGATCCCAAACCTCCAAGCGACCCTAGTCTATGGCTCTATCTCGGAGTTGCCGCTGCTCTGGTCTTGAGCGGTGGTGCATTTGCTGGTCTGACGATAGCTTTAATGGGCCAGGTAATTTTTTTTCCCCTCCTTCGTGTCGACCTTGACCTCATTCATCGCGTTGCGAGCACTTTCGGAAGGCTAATTTCTGGGGAATGCACACCCGCGGGGACTCTAGGATGAAGTTTATCTACAAGTTATTCAAACCTCTGGTGAAGAGGGCGAACGCAAAAATGCAGCAAGCGTGCTGAGACTGTTGCAGCGGGGAAAGCACTGGGTGCTGGTGACTCTCCTTCTCAGCAACGTGATCACCAACGAAACTCTTCCAATTGTGCTCGATCGGTCACTGGGAGGTGGCTGGCCAGCAGTGCTCGGCAGTACAGTCTTGATTGGTACGGGAAAATCCCTCTTCCTTGGCGCGAGAGGTCCTTGCTTATCGTCCGCCTGATGTGTTTTAGTGATCTTTGGCGAAATCGTGCCTCAATCCATTTGCGTCCGGTACGGGTTGCCTATCGGCGCATGGATGGCCCCCTGCGTCTTGGCGCTTATGTACATCATGTCTCCCGTGGCCTACCCTGTTGCCAAACTGCTCGACAAGCTGCTTGGAGAAGACCACGGAACCATTTACAAGAAAGCGGGCCTAAAAACCCTGGTTACGCTGCATAAGACCCTGGGTGAAGCTGGGGAGCAGCTGAACTCGGATGAGGTCACGATCATCAGCGCTGTCTTGGACCTCAAGGACAAGTCCGTTGGCAGCATCATGACTCCCATGGAAGATGTCTTTACCATGTCCGCGGACACTATACTCGACGAAGAAACAATGGATCTCATTCTGTCTCAGGGATACTCCCGTATCCCCATTCATGCGCCCGACAATGACATGAATTTCGTCGGCATGCTTTTGGTCAAGATGCTCATCACTTATGACCCTGAAGATTGCAAACGGGTCCGGGATTTCGCCCTAGCTACTCTTCCGGAGACGCGCCCGGAGACGAGCTGTCTGGACATCGTCAACTTTTTCCAAGAGGGCAAGTCTCACATGGTTCTCGTATCGGAATATCCGGGCGAAGATCGCGGCGCCTTGGGCGTGGTCACCTTGGAAGATGTGATCGAGGAATTGATCGGAGAGTATGTACTTCATCTACACCAGAGTAGGAGCATGGCTAATTCCATCATAGGGAGATCATCGATGAATCCGATGTTTTTGTCGACGTTCACAAGGCGATCCGTCGTATGGCTCCGGCTCCCAAGTCTCGAGTCCCTAAAGGCCGGATTGTGGAAGACCCCCCGATGCTACCTGTCGAATCAGGTGGGCCGCTGATCGACATCGAAGGCGAATCCACCGCGGAACCCCCGACCAACGGTGCCTCGAAGGAAAACCGGCGAAGCTCTGTCGAAGCGCCCTTGCCTCGTTTCCAGTTTCGTCGTCCCCATTCAGACAGGAATTCCGACTCCACCGATGGCTTGGTGACTCAACGAGGTGCGACGGACGAAATTCGCGAGCACTTGAAGCATCTCGGCCCTTCAAATCTTGCTAGCCGGCCTCGCCAGACTAGATATCAGAGTGTGAAGATCAAGCGGAGTGCCTCTCCCTCGCGGTCTGGCCATACTGATCTAGAGTCTCGCCAAAGCGCGGACGGCTTAATTAGAAGCACTACTTCTGGCTTGCAGGGCGGCCTCGGTGCCGGATTAGTGCAAAGCGGAATGGATGCGCGAGACGGTGTATATGCCGTCCGGGCAGGCTACGGCACGTTAGGTCATGGTCGTTCCCTATCCGATACGGCGCGGATGACCGACGGACCGGCACTCTCCATACCGGAAGCTGTCCATGAGGAACAGGACGATAACACTCGCCCCAGCACTCGTGCACAGCAGGACAACAGCCCTGCGCATAGCTTCCAGTCGACCGACTCCGAGCTCTCTGATCGTCTCCGGCCCGGCAGCTACCGACACAAGGGCCCCGCCCGCAGTGGTAGCATTACGGAGCAGGTGGTTGACGTCAACGGCATCCGCAAAGTAGTCCTCCATACCACTAGCACCGCCACCAGCTCCTCCGAGTCTGATACACCCAATGCTACCGCCCAGACCCAGTTCCCTGTTCAGCAGAATGGGGAGATTGTCAATCTCGGAAATGGCGATGGCAGCGGATCGAAGAAAAAACGTCGTCGCAAGCGCCGTGGGCATGGCTCCAAAAGCGGTGATTTGCACGCGGAGGATGCACCTCTTCTTGCGCCAGAATAACCCGCACTGTATGTGCTTGAAGTGGACTCTGCTGGACAGAGCAATGGGCGATGCAGTAAATTCATTCGACTGGCTTCATTTGATTTTTTTTTGTAAGAATGCTCGGAAAGCAGTATAGATAACACTCCTTTTTTTCCAAGGAGGAAGTATACGTATTGAGGGAAATATTCGCAATTTGTGAGATAGGGATTCGAGGTCGATGAAAACGGAAAATATGATTTAGAGAAGTCGGGCTGACTACTGTAAGAGTGAATCGAAGTTACAATATTGCTTTGTTCGTGAGTCTCATGCTATAATCATACGTGGAGCGACTGTAGATACAGCTCTTAGCCATGTTGTTCCAAACTATACGTACATTGGTGTACTGCTTCTTGGGTAGGCTCTGTTTCCTTCTCACAGGCTGTAAAACTCACATAATGTATTTTAAAGCACGAAATTATATCAACAAGCATCATTGGTCTAGTGGTAGAATTCATCGTTGCCATCGATGAGGCCCGTGTTCGATTCACGGATGATGCAATGTAATCTTTCTTTTGTCTTTTTTTCTCTCTTGGATGCTTTCTATCTATCCGTCCGACATACGTCATCGGCACGGAATACACACTTTTGTAATTAAGAGATTGTCTTGCAGAGCCGTTGACCTCACTTCAATCCGAATGTGTATCCAGTTCTATCTACCTGGATACAGTCGTCTCGTCGGCATCATGATCTCACAGGATCTCACTTACTTCCGTATGATGCAGACTCACTCCTGATGGAATATAGATTGGCTACGTATATGTATCGGATCCAGCCCAGTCGGATGGAGACTGGGTTGGAAAGCAAACTGCATATTGAGAACCCCAATCATCTTACGAGGATGATGTTGTGTAACCGAGCAGGGGACGTCAACCATGGTGTTCGTAGATAAAGTTTGATGCAAGGAGTCCCCTTCGATCAGATAAGGATAAACTACCGACAAAAAGCTATTATATACATCTAGATTGCTGGGGCCTCGGGTTGGCACCGGCATGACTGCGATATTTGCACATTGTGAGTAGTGACCTCATACAACACAAGTAGCGTGCCAGCTAAAAAAGTGGAGATCTTGTGCAAATAAGCCTAAAATGGGTAATAAGCCAGCACGAGGGCTCAGGGCCCAGGGACCCAGTATGGGGTCTCCACCGCCATCAAGCATTGAATCGGAATTATCATTGCTACCAACTTGGCAGCCTTGGCAGGGAAGTGACCCTCATATATATTCCTGCGAGCTTCCCCTCACTCTGCAGGGTCCAAACCCACTCCTCCACTTGATTTTTTTGACCCCAACATGGCTGCAATGGAAGAGCCGATTCCCCTCCGCAACACGAACCAGGCGATTTCTATCGACTCCAACGAAGAACCGGCGCAGGTCTTCCACGAGGCTGAGCGATGGAACTATCCTCGCTCTAATGTATTTAAGACCCTCGCCACCTTCTGGAGTTTTCTGGTCATGGGTATGAATGATGCAGCCTACGGGGTGAGTGATCGCCTTACCCTCTTATCTGGAATTTGACCGAGACTGACCCTAGTAGCCTCTGATTCCCTATGTAAGCGTTCGACCGTCATAGAGCCGTGTGATCGCCACTGAACAGTTGCCGCAGCTGGAAAGCTACTACCGTCTCTCCTACACTGTGGTGTCCCTCGTCTTCTTCTCACCGCTAGTCGGCTACACCGCGGCCGCCTTTCTGAACAGCCGAATTCACAACAAACTAGGCCGTCGAGGAGTGGCCGTGTTGACGCCCAGTTGCCATGTGATCGCGTATATCATCAATTGTTGTCACCCCCCCTACCCGGTCCTGGTCGTCTCGTTCATCTTTGCAGGCTTCGGAAATGGACTTGGGGATGCCTCGTGGAATGCTTGGATAGGTAACATGGCCGACTCTAATCAGATTCTGGGGCTTCTGCACGGGCTCTACGGTGTTGGAGGTGTGATCAGTCCCCTCATCGCAACCTCGTTGATCACAAAGGCCCATGTGCCGTGGTACTATTACTACTATATCCTGGTAAGACTGGTGTTCCACCGAGAACTTCATCCGGCCCTTGTATCGTTCTAAGCTTTGGCTTACACGTTCCTCCTTTCTACTGTCCGCAGATTGCCTGTGCGGTCACTGAACTTGCTGTCTGTGCCTCAGCCTTCTGGGACGCATCGGCAGAACGAGACAAAGCGAGAGAGCCACAGTCAGATGATGACAACAAGGCGGGGCTTCGTGAAGTGCTGTTCAAGAAGTCTTATGCGCGGGTTACCTGGATCTGTGCCATCTTCCTGCTGGGATATGTCGGCATCGAAGTCGCCCTGGGCGGCTGGATTGTGACATTCATGATCCAGGTCCGACATGGCCAGTCCTTCGCAAGTGGGATGACAGCTACCGGGTTTTGGCTTGGGATCACTGTGGGGCGCATGGCGCTAGGATTCATCACCCCGCGCATTGGCGAGAAGTTGGCAATCATAGTATGTTTCCCTTGCCCATTGCACTGCACAGTCCGGTCATTCTTCGCCCTGCCAGGATCCATAGATCCAATGCGTTAACTCTCAATCCCTCCTATAATGTGACCCATGCACGATTTCTTCTGACATCGTCACTCTGCAGATATATTCCTGCTGTGCTATCGCCGCAGGTCTTGTCCTCTGGCTGGTCCCGAACTTCTACTCATCCGCAGTCGCTGTTTCTCTGCAAGGATTCTTCCTGGGACCGTTCTTCCCGGCAGCGGTGGTGGTGGCTACCAAGCTCCTCCCTCGCCATCTTCACGTCAGTGCCATTGGATTCGCGGCTGCGTTTGGCGGCGGAGGCGCTGCTATCCTGCCGTTCGCTGTGGGTGCTATTGCGCAGGCACGCGGAGTCAAAGTGTTGCAGCCCTTCATCATCGGGCTTTCTGGAGGAATCTTGCTGTTGTGGCTGGGATTGCCCAGGATGCCAAAGAAGAATCAGGCTTGAGGAGAATGAAGCTACGGCTGAAGATATAGACTGCATATAATGGTTGGGCCCAAGTAGATAGAACGGGGTGGATGTTGGCCTGGTGGTATGGATGAGGAGGCAGGCCAATCTAATGGGGCAGGGTCATTTGGTGTGTATATATGCGTTCAAAGTAGCAACGCCCTACGGAATACAGGAAAAAGTTCTTTGATCTATCAAGCTTGTATGGCAGGGTTCTTATACAGTGCTTATTTTCGGTGTTCTAGCTAATTGTGTATGATACAAGCTGTCAGATTTGTTCTTCGATATTCAAGAGTAGGAGTAAAGCCAAAGTAGTCTCTAATTTCCCTATGCAATATTCACTTTTGGTGGTCACTTACCTGATGTTGGCCTGGGAGAGTGAAGTGATCATGTTACTGTGGGTGACGATACTTGGTTCCCCCACGACAACATGAGTTTGATATTCACTGGATACTCCCTCACTCTCCGTAGCAACCCACCCTCACGTTCTCCATAAATATCTCCTTCTATCACTCCACCTTATTTACCCTTCTCTCTCCCACATCTCTCTCCTTCTTCGCCTCTCTTCTCACCATCTTTCCTCCACATATCTCTCCCTCATCTCTCTCCATCAAACCACAGATCTCTTTCGCAAACTTGCAATCATTTGATACCTTCTACATCCTTCCAAGAGCTTGAAAAACAAGACTCCTTCTCCTGTGAAAGACGCTTGAAAGTCTCAGACATATGTCTGGAGGCCTGAAGAGGCTTTGGTGACATTGACACCGAGAAAAGCTTCGACGGCCAGACGCGTGTTGTGACAGCTTCACAGAAGAACAGAATTCTTCAAGCCTTCTCAAGAATCTCAACCACTCTCTCATCATCCTACTTCTTCCTACTTGTAAGCTATCCATCTTTACCACTCAAGACGCGAGCAGCATCCACTGACTATACCACGGACGTGTAAAGCCTCTCATCTCATCACTTCATAAAACATCCCACACGAGAACTTCTGAGCGTCAGGTTCGACCTCATTCGACAAGATGTCAAACGCGGCAGAACAGATCTTCTTCTACGGACAGGTCACCGATCCGGCGCACGCCTCAAGCTTCGACGTGCTGACGTACCTCGATCTGACTAACGGGGGCACCATACTCTTCCAAGCCATAATCCTTATCACAATCATCATCTGTTTCCTGCCGGACCTGGCGCCCTTGACCCTGACCGGGGTTCAAAGGTTCATCATCTCGCCTATCCGCTCCCTGCTACACGATATCCACTGGGCCGTCCAGCAGCTGTCCAACGGCGAGTCTCGCAAGAGCTTCTATCGTTTATGTTACGCCAACGCCCAAGACACAATCCTCAATTCTAGCCTGGTCCAACTAACCTTCATCGGAATCCTTTGGTTCTTTCCAAGCAACCGGCCTTTAAGTACCGCAGGCCGCCTCTGGGCCCTAGCAGCCGGGTCGAAGTGGATGTACATCTCTGCTTTGATACCAGGCCACCATTATTTGAACGGCATAACCGCGGGCTTCAGTCCCATGGGACGGGACCGCTACGAAGACTGCCTTGCCGACATGGCGCGCAGTGGGTTACCGGATCGTTGGACCAACAAGCAATGGCTGGCGAGCTACCGCTGCTCCGGCGTGGAGACGGGGCTGGAGCTGTACGAAACGATCAAGGACCGCGCGCAGTGGCTGGTGCCACCTGTGGACAGCGAGGTCCGCCACCTCCGCGTTCTTGCTTTCATGGCTGTCTTGATCCCGACCCTGGTTATAGGGCTGTGGCTCTTTTATGCTCTCTGCAACAAAGTTGCCGCTCTACGCCGGGGGATGGTGCTGGCGGCGAACGGCGAGCCCCGGCCCACTGAATGCGAGGCTTATCTGTGGAACTTGTCCAAGTCTCTTGAGACTGCGAATGGGAAACTGCAGCAGTGCATGGCGACGAGGGAGGCAGAGTTCCAGGCGGAGAAGCAGCGGCTGGAAGAGACCGTCCGTCACCAGACCGACCTCACTTCTCGCAAAATTCAGAGCGCGCTCCGCCAGGCGAAGGACGCGCACGCGGGCATCATCGATGAGTTGAAGAGGAAGGTCGTCCAGCTGGAGAATAATCTCACCATGGCCAGAGCCGAGGCGCAGTTCGTCGTCGTGGATGAAGTGGACGCGGCACGGGAGCAATTCCTGAAAGACCGTATCGTGCAGCTGGAGAAGCAGCTGGCTGGCGCGAAGAAGAAGAGCAACGCTAGGAGTAAGAAGGAGCTACAGACGGTCAAGGATGAGCTTCAGACTCGCACTGATGAGTTGACGACTCTCACTGACAAGCTCTCTGAGGCTGAGACTCGCGTGTCCGCGGCGGAGGAGCGTGGTCGACGTGTGGAGATTGAATGCGAGAAGCTGCTAACCCAGAGGCTTGCGTCGCTGAAGAGTGAGCTTCAGAACCGTACCGATGAGCTTGCAGCTGCGGAAGAGCGGCTGGCTACCGCGGAGAAGAGTAGTCAGCAGGGCGAACTGGAACATGATCAGTTGAAGCATGAACTTCAGACCCGCACCGATGAGCTTGCAGCTGCGAAAGAGCGAATGGCCGCAGCCAAAGAGCATAGTCGACCGGATGGAGCCGAGCGCGAACAGACCCGTATTCCAATTCAGGAATTCCAGTCTCTGAAGAGTGAACTTCAGACCCGCACCGATGAGCTTGCCGATGCAGAGAAGCGTCTGGCCGCTGCTCGAAGCAAGCACAATCGACAGGCGAAACCCGAGCGTGAACAGAACCTTGCCCAGAGCCAAGAAATCCAGTCACTGAAGATTGAGCTTCAAATTCGGACTGATAAGCTCGCAGCCGCAGAAAAACGACTGACCGCTGCTCGAAAGCATAGTCAGCAGAACGAAGCCGAGCGCGACGACCAAAACCAGAAGCTTCAGTCGCTGAAGACTGAACTTCAGAGACGAACCGACGAACTTAACATCTGGACTGAAAGGTGTCTTTCCGTTGAGTCACGTCTGCTTGCCGCAGAGGAACACGGTCAGCAGGAGGGACACGGCCAACAGGCTACCATCGAAGGCCAGCAACATCTCAGCCAGGAGCAGGAGCAGGAACTGCAGTCACTCAAGGATGCACTTCAGACACGCACCGATGAACTCCAGACCTGTACTGACAAGCTTGTCGACGTTGAGAAGCACCTGGTCACTGCAGAGAAGCACGGTCGTGAGAGTGAAACCCAGCTTCAGGAGCTTATTATGAAGAACCAGGAGCTTCTGGCTCAGAACCAGCAGATCAGCGCAGAGTCGGAGGCTTTCCAGGTCGCACACGAAGCAAGCCTGAAGCAGAGCCTGTCTCTGGAAACCATGCAGAAGGAGCGTGACGCCGCCATTGCGAAGAACCAGGAGCTTCTCACTCAGAACCAGAATATCATTGCAGAGTACGAGGCTTTCCGGGCCTCACACGAAGCAAACCCACAGCATAGCCAGTTGCTGGAGACCATGCAGCAGGAGCGCGACGTCGCTCTCGCTCAGAACCAGCAGATCAATGCCGAGTATGAGGCATTACGGGCCACACATCAAGCAAGCCTGCAGCATAGCCAGTCCCTGGAAGTCATGCAGCAAGAGCTGGCCGCCACCCATGCGAGAAACCACGCGCTTCAACAAGAGAATAACTCCGTTGAAATCGAAGCACAACTGATGGTGGCTAAGTTAGAGTTCGACCTAGACGAAGCCCAGAGACAACTGGCGGAAGCGCAATTCAGCGGAGCCAGCGCGCAGCAGAGCATGCAGGAAGGCGAAGTGGCCTGCAACTTGTCTGTGGCGGAAGCGCGCGCCCAAGCGGAGCAGGCGCGAAGCCAAGCGTTCATGATGCAGAAGAATCTCGACGAGGTCACCGAGGAGAACCGCACCCTCCAGATTCAGATCGGACTGGCGATGAGGGACGCCCAGCGTGGCCAGGAACGGGCCGACACCGCGGAGCGAGTCAACAAGGTCCTCGAGGTGCGTCTGGCCCAATGGGAGGAGAAAGCTCGCGACGAACAGATGATTCTCAAGCGACCGACCGCGAACGTGGGGTCCGTCACGACGGCCCTCCAGCAGTGCCAGGTCAAGGTTTCCGAGCAGCAGACGAGGATCAACGAGTTGACGGAGAAGCTCGAGAAGGCGAAGGTGGCCAGCCCCGCGGGCAAGGTTGAGGAGAAGCTCCGTGCCGACCTCTCGATGATCAAATCGATGTACGACCGGGAGAAGCGAGCACGCACGGAGGATCAGATCCGCTGGTCCAAGGAGAACCGCGAGTTGGAGGAGGAACTCCGCAAGCTGCGCATTAGCATCTCGAATGCGAAGACCCAGCGTCCCAGACGCAGCCGGGTAGCAGCCGGAGTTGCCTCCGACGCATGTGACATTGATTGAGTTGGGTATGGGTAGGGTTGTGTACGTGGTGGCGATAGTTGAATGAAGGGAGGGGCGCAAGTTTGGCGGACGAAATTGTTGGACATGTATCTGGCTGGCTTGCTTGCTTGGGTTGGCTTATGGCAATAATGATGACGTTTGGTTCTAGTATCAGGCCAGCCTTCTTGGTGGCTCAGTCAAGCATCACATTCTTCTCGTTCGATTGGCATTGTTGAGTTTAGGAGTTTAGGGGTAGGCGGCTTCACCCTGTCATGCTTGATGCTTTTCTACCCCCCAACCCCTCCGCTTACCATATTGTAACAGTATGTTCATGTACTCAGTCAGTATCTATGGAGTATCGATCGGGGAAGATAACAAATTAAACAATTAAATTGTGAGTGAGCACGATTATTCTGAAACCGCCAAGCAGAGAGATGATGAACCAGTTGCAACGTGCAAGGGGGACCGTGCTGATCTCAGCACTTTGATGCTTTGAATCTTTGATGCACTTCAGTGGATGTGGATCAGGGGGTTCAGCGTTCGGGAGATAACGGTGTGCCCGTTCAATCTTCCAACTTCCTGCAAGAGTAGCGCAAAAGCGCAATAAGGGGCTTCCATTAGCCCCATCC